GATAGATAGATAGATAGATAGATAGATAGATAGATAGATAGATAGATAGATAGATGATAGATAGATAGACAGACAGAAAGATAGAGAGATAGTATATGGGATAGATATGTGAATAAATAAATGGATAAATGAATGAATAGATAAATAGATAAATGGAAGGAACATTGGAGATTATCTTGCCCAACCCCCTACCATGGCACAGTAGAATAAGCCCTGGCCCTACAATCTGAGACCCTGAGTTCAAATCCTGCTTCTGGTACTTACTGTCTGTGTGACATCAGACAGTAAGATGCAAGAAGTTATGTTTCCACAAATATAGAGGAAGTGGTACTAACAATAGAATTCAGAAGTTGTCACAGGGGCAGAAGGAGCAGTCTTGCTCAAGAATTATTTTTAACAAATGCCACTCAGAGACAGACAAAAACCTGATGACATTAGCAGTGGGCGTTAGAAGTGAAGAAAGTAATACACACGTTATAGCTTGGCTAAGGTGCACATGCTTAATGAGCCTCTGCTTATTAACTTCTCCTGGGGGGGAGGAAGATTGACACAATTTTAGGCACAATATTGTATGTAGAGGGAAGGACCTTGCATTTCGGGATAGGAATATGACAGCTTGCTCTCACTTCTGTAGGGTGTGTCTGCCTCTAGCAGCACACCTGCTTCTTGCAAGAACGCATAATAAATGAGCTTGCCCCATCTACCTCAGGAGTCTTTGTTTTTCCTATAGAAGTTATTCCTAACAATTTGGGGAATCATCTAGGATCTGAAGTATTGAAGGAGGAGAACAACCACCACCAAAGGATGGAGAGGTGCATCCCACTGAATTTACTGGCTTCATGGATGGTTGGTGAGTATCCTCCGTTCTGACTGCTCAGACCCAACACTTTGATTTGGAGCGAGGTGGAGTGACATAGGTGAGGAATAGGAGAAAAACCACAGCTACTACACAAAGTCTATGCACAAAGCAAGGTAAGAAAGGTTGGACTTCCAAGTACTACCTTGTTAGTAAGGGCATTATACCTAAAAGAACTATAGAGTAGGACTGGTACTCATAGATAGGTGGAATGGGGAATAAGGAAACTAAGGCACCTGGAGAAGGGGCAGGGATGAGGGCCCCTGGGAGCATACCTCCGAACAGTCCCTTGGGGAGGATGCTGGAGAATTGGAATGGATATACATGTACAAAGGATAAGAATAAAAAATAGATGATTAGGTTATGTTGTGTTATTTGGCCCAAGGAGAGCATTATGCCTCCAGCAGTGTTTTAGCCCAAGTATGGGGGCTGATGAGGATTGGATATGCCAAGCATTAAATATCTACATGAATGACAAGAAACCATTTAGTCAAGAGGAGAGTGATGATGCCTCTTGTTGGAAAGAGGAGGGGGATCCCTCAAAGGAGAAGGAAGTCAAAACATACCCCCTGAGGGAGATCGCTTTAAATGAAGGGGAAATTGGGTTTGTAAATGCCCCACTGACTGCCAGCTAGGTGAGAAAATTTGGATTAATAAGTATTGCCTTGTAGGCTTGAGTAAATATCAGAGTAGTCTGGGACTACTGGAGTGTGGAGAAGACCCACACAGGAGGTCTTGTCAAAACAGAGACAAGCACCAAGTTAGATATTTATAAGCAATCCTAGCGAAGGATGTAGGAGGGGAATAAGGCACCAAGGAAAAAAAGAGGGGAGAAGTCCTCTGAGAACATTCCTCCAGATAGTCCCTAGAGAGGATATGGAAGAAAAAGGATCAGCACAGGTGTATGATGGGGTTCTTTTAACCAGTCAAGATTACTTTAAAACTAGAGTTGTGTACACTTTGTCTTGTCAAGCTGTCTCTGTCTGTGTGTGTGTTTGTAAATGTTTCATGTTTGTGGTGAAAGTTTTTAAATGCAGCCAGAAGCCTTTGGAAGAGCTCCTCAGGGAAGCACAGAAGGTGTTTGTGAGAAGGGAGGAAGAAAGACAGAAACAGAAGGCCAAGCTTATGGTGGCCACTATACAAGAGGTAATGAAAAAGAAAGGGGAACAAGGGCCAAAGAAAGCCCCTTTTCAGGCAGGGACCCTAGGAAGGGAGTAAGCCAAGGGAAAACACCTCCCTGGATGTTATTTCTGTGGGAAGCCTGGACACTTCCGAAGAGAGTGTCCTGAGCTGAAAAGGGAAGAAAAAGTAGTCCCCCTGATGACATTTGAGGAAGAGGGAGGGGGTCAACAATTCTTGAAACAAGGAGACCACTCGGAACCCTTGATAAATTTGAAGGTGGGACCCTGGGAGGAGGATGTGGTTTTTCTGATAGATACCAAGGCTAACCCGATCCTCCCTCAATTTCAAACCTAGGGATATACAATTTTCAGGACAAAAACTAAAGGTATCAGGAGTCAAAGGGGAAGGATTCCTATTTCCAATTTTTGAAGCCATTAAGGTAAGGGGTGGTAAAAAAAAAAAGGGACAATAGCTCAGTTCCTATATATTCCAGAGACAGGAAGTAATCTGTTAGAAAGGGATCTGATAATTCAGTAAAATTTGCAAATTGAGACATGCAATCAAGAAATTGAGGTAAACATGGCCATGTTAACTGAAGAAGATGAGAATGGAATAGAAGAATCAGTATGGGTAAAGGAGGGAAATAAGGGAGGATTGAATATTGCACCAATCAAAATAAGCCTTAAGCAGGAGGAGAGATGGTAAGGATTAAACAATACCAGGTAGCTAGTGAAGGAAGGAGGGGATTGCAGCCAATCATTGATGGACTATCAGGGACGGGTTATTGGAACCTTGCATGTCCCCATACAACACTCCTGTATTACCTGTAAGGAAGACTGATGATTTCTACCAGTTGGTGCAAGACCTTAGGGCCATAAATAAAATTGTGGCTTCTAGACATCCTGTAGTCCCAAACCCATATACATTCATGGGGAGAATCCCTTATGAAGATAAGTGGTCTAGTGTAATTGATCTTAAAGATGCCTTCTGCACTTGTGCCCTCTCTAAGGAAAGCAGGGAACTTTTTTGCCTTTGAATGGGAAAATCCTTATAAAGAAAACAACAATAACAATGAGTCTGTCCTATCTCAAGGTTTTACAGAATCCCCTAACTTATTTGGGCAGGTTTTGGAGCAAGTGTTAGAAAAGTTTTCGATCCCTTATGGGATTACTTTGCTGAAGTATATAGATGACTTGTTGGTGTTGGGGCCAATAAGATAGCTAGGGCTGAGGGAAAAAAAGGAAAGCTATTTGTAAAGGGAGTGGGTGGGGGTGGGGTGTTCCCAGGAGAATTCGTGTGCTCTAAATTTCCTATCCTTGGATGTTTGTTCTGGGTGACTTTATGCCAGCTTCAAGGGGTTTAAAATCGTGCGAAAATTTGATTCTGTTTTGGGTAGAAAAATTGAAAATGAAAATTTTGTAGCTTGATTTGAAAACCAATGAAGTTATAAAAGGTTAGAAGACCATCCACCTCTCAGGATAAACCTGTAGAAAGGCTTTATTAAATCTGACCTTGCATAAATTTTGGCTATGGTAAAGATTGGGTATTGTGATTGGAGATTGTTATAAAAAAATCTTAAAATGTTTTCCTGGATTGTTCAGTTAATTATTGGAACTCTAGAGGCTTTCTGCCTTAGGGGAAAACTGACTAGAGCCCTGTTAGAATTGATTCAAATTCCTGACTTGAGGGACTAACTCTCTGGAGGGTGAAATGCCTAGGGTAGTTGTTTTTTGTTTTTTTAATCTGATAAGCCTCCAAAAGGGAGACAAGGCTTTTTTGATCTCTTAAGGAAGTAGGGGAAAAAAAAAGGAGGGGGGGGAGAATTATTCAGAGCAGGAATTGTCACCAGGTATCTTTTTAAGGGAATATATGAAGTTGTGGAGAATATTTCCTTTTAAAGGGCCAAGAGTATTGAATTTAAAACAAAAAATGTTTTTAAATGTTTATCATTAGCAATTATAAATCCAGATTTGATTTGATTTAAGTTTGTTTACCTCAGTTTACTGCTCTCTAAAGGGAAAAATAATAATGGGTTGTTTCAAGTTCCAAGTATATTATAAGGTGTATGGAATAGTTATGAGTGGGATGC